GGCAATTAACTCAAGTTAGAATATATGAGAAAACAAACAATCAACAGAGTGTAAAGGCAGTCTCTAGAAGTGAAGAAAGTATTTGCAAACCATACAGCTGATACAAGGTTAATATCCTAAAGTATAAGAAATTCATATAGATTTTTTTTTTTTTGGTTGGTTGTAGGGCCTGAACTCTGGGCCTTGGTGCTGTCCCTCAGCTCTTCAGATCAAGGATAGCCCTGTACCACTTGAGCCACAGCACCACTTCTGGTTTTCTGGTGATTTATTGGAGGTAACAGTCTCACAAACTTTCCTGCCTGGGGTAGCGTTGAACTGCAATCCTCAGATCACAGCCTCCTAAGTAGCTAGGATTACAGGTGTGAGCCACCAGCGCTTGGCTAATTCATACAGATTTATAGGAAAATATCAATCTGATAAAACATAGACAAAGTGCTTGAGCTTATATTTCTCTAAAGAAGATACACAGATGGCCAAGACATATGAAAAGATTTTCAAATGTGCATTAGTAACAAAATGAAATATCAGTTTATGCCTTGTTAGGATGATCATTATCAAAAGTACATAAAGTAATAAATTAGCAAAAATGTAGACAACTTGAGATCCTTCTATGCTCATGGAAATGTAAAATAGCTATAGAACTGTATGCAGTTTCCTCAAAAAACTGAAAATAGAGCTGGAAATTTTCCAACCTGCAATCCTAGTATTAAAGTGGAAGAGAATCAACAAGAGTTTAAGACCATCTGGGTACTACTTGTACTCATAATTTGAAGAACTAAGGAGGCTAAGAGCTGAGGCTCTTGATTTGAGACTAGCCAGGGAGACACATTTGAGATACTCTTATTCCAATTACCCAGCAAAAACAAAACAAAACAAAAAAAAACCCTCAAGTGATAGACTGCCAGTCTGAACGAAACAGCCAAGAAAGAATGGCCAAGTACTGGCATACAATAATAAATTTAAATAAATTTAAAATGAGCCTGGAGTACATAATGAGTCTGAGGCTAGCATGCCCTAAGTAACTTGAATAAATAAATAAAAAGAAATAGAACTGCCACATATGGCTCAACGATCATATTTCAAGCATTTTCCAAAATAATTGGAAACAGTATCTGAAAGAGGTATTAACACTTTAAAGACCCCCAAGTTTAGTGCATCAGCACTGTAATGGTAAAAATGGTAGAAATTACATAAATTTCTATTAGCAGGTAAATGGACAAAGAAAATGTGGAACATTACTTAGGTTTTAAAATGAACAAACCTTGACAAATGTGATCAAGCGGATGAAACTGAAGAACATTAGTCTACATAAATCAAAGGCTGAAAGACAAATGCTGAATGATTTCATTTATGCACAGTATCTTAAGTAATCAATTTATATGCTAGAATTAGAACAGTGTTTCCAAGGATTGATGGGGAAATTCAGCATATATGGAGAATAGTGTATAAATGATAACTGCACAGCTCAATGAATTATAGTATATACATTTTATCTATACCCAGTTTAAGAATTAGAATATAACCAATAGCTTAGTGTTGAGTCTTTTGTTCCCTCCTGAGTTAGCTTCCTTTTCTTTACTAAAGTAACAATTACTATGACTTATAACAGCATTTGCCTACTTTGACTTTTATAAAACTTTGAAATATATCCTTTGCCCATAGAAGAGTAAGTCAAACTATTGCTTGGATATTACTTTTGTCATTGGCCTGAAAGCCAGGAGCCTTGTTTGCTTCACTGTGCCATAATAGAGACAGATTAATAGATCTTCCAAGTTGGGTCACTTTGTTTTCAACTTCTTTTGAGAGGGTGCTCCTATTTTGTGCTTTGTTAGAGAACCATGAACTGCCTGTCTTTTCATGAGATGGGAAGACAGAGGATAGAAAACTTAACACATTAGTTTCATAAAAGACTTCCTAAAACCTATACTCATCACTTCAGTTTTGGGCCTTTGGAGGGTACAATCCTAAACACAAAACCTCACCAAGCCTTTTCAAGCCCCACTCTGGACTTCTCTATCAAGTATTCTGCACTGAACCTTCCTGAGCTTCATTTCATTTAATAGGGCATTCATAACCAGTTTCTGTCATTTAATCCTTTATCCACTGATGACTCCCTAATCCTTTATTTCATTATTGGACATGTATTCTCTTTATATATATTATGTGCATATACACTATATTCATATGTATATATTATATACATTATATGTGTGTATATGTTACAATATGTTATATATAGTATATAACATAATATATACATATTACATAATATACACATAATATATACATATGTCATATACGTTATAAATATATGCATATGTATAATATACATTACATGCATGTATATAATATGTGCATATTATATATTATATATTTGTTGTTGTCAGCCATGGGGCTTGAACTAAGAGCCTGGGTGCTGTCCCTGAGCACTTGCTCAAGCTAGCACTTAGCACTCTACTACTTTGAGCTACAGCACTTCTTTTTTTCTGTTGGTTAATTGGAGATAAGAGTCTCAAGGACTTTCCTGCACAGGCAGGCTTTGAGCTGTGGTTACTAGATCTCAGCCTGCTAAATAGGTAGAATTATAGGCATGAACCCTCAGTGCTAGATTCCTTTTTATCTTAACTGTAATTTAAAATGAGGGGAAATACACATCTTTGTGTCTATAATCTTGAACAGATATAGAAAATTTGCTTTAACAATTGTTAAATTGTGACCTGTCTTCCTTATGATTAAATGTCTACATTAATAATAAGAATGGTTTACATTTGAGGGTGAAATCATACTCCTTGTTAACTTTTTAATTATGTAGAGATACTTCTAATAAAAATAAAATAAAATTCAAAGTCAAGATCATCGTATTTTTTTCAAATTGGCATCACTGTATGATATTTTCTACTTTATTTGTGATTTGTTTAGCCTTAGTTTTATTTTTCTCAGGGGAGAATTCTGAGATAATACAATTTTTGGCCTTTCATGTTTATAAGAAATATACATACATTGAAGATATATGCTATTATCTTCTTATTATGCACTTTAAATCAACTTGAGCTTTCTCATTCTTGTTTTAAAACTTTTTTTTTTGTCAGTCGTGGGGTGTGAACTCTGGGGCCTGGGCGCTGTTCCTCAGCTCTTCAATTCAAGGCTAGCACATGTAAGGAACAATGAATACCTTAGAACTCACTCTTCCTGTTCATTCCTTACTGCAATTCTTTTTGATTTATAACATGTATATATTTGATAACCTGTCTCAAGAGCAAACTTTTAACTATTTGTTCTGATTATTGTTGATTTACAGTCTAAATATACTGAATAAACTGAAATACTAGCAGCCACTCAATATAGACCTAAAACATAGATTACTAAGCTTTGAAGTTGGAATTTAGCACAACTTATGAAATGTGTACTATCTTAGTTTATTACTTTTTTTTACATTTTCGTTGAAAATATTTCAGCAGCAGAATATAATTACTGCAAAAGATAACAACCTTTAAGTATGCCAATAAGAATTTTCTGTCAACTCTACTTTGATTTCTTAAATTGGATAAAATTCATTAGTTTTCCTTATTAATAAACAAGATAAAAACATTAAGCATCTTGGAACTCTGCTAGAAGCTATCCGGCACTATCTGCATAAATGAGACTCTGAATGATAAAGATAAATTACAGTTTTATGCAGATAATAGGCTCTTAGTAAATTTTTGTTGATTCATTAACTATAATCTAAGGTTGACATATAGCCACAAACTTGTTAATTAGAAAAATGAACGAGCAGTGGATGTTAAATTTGCATCGTAAAGATAAATGCACTTTAAAGATTACAAGTAAACTAAATAATTATTTAAGTTAGGCACTCAAGAATCATGATAAAAAGATAAAGTGCTCTCATTTTATCTTGGCTCTTGCATATTTTAACTTTTATATTGCTACAAATTTGTAGCAGTCTGAAAAGGAAACAAACATCTATTATATCTTTAGTGAACCAGATATTGAAAAATTATATGCATTTATATATTTGTGTATATGTATGTGTATATATTTACATATATATACATATATATGCTGTTTCATCATGAGAGCCACCCTGTGATTTAAGCATTATGACCATCAACATGGGCTTGGATTGGAGCTCAAGGGTACAGGGTTTGTCTAGAATGGGCATAGCCCTAAGTTCAGTACAATAATACACACACACACACACACACACACACACACACACACACACTGGTTTGAGTCCAACTCAGACAAAAAGTTGGCAATACCTCAACTCATTCAGCAAGCTGAGTTTGCACCTGTCATCTCAGCTATGTGGAAGATAGAAATATCACAGAACAGGCAAGCATGGGCAAAAACTGAGACACTGTTAGCAAAATAACTAAAGCAAAAAGTGGTGTTTGGAACATAGCTCAATGTGATAGAGCACCTGTGAAATGTGGGGCCCTAAGTTCAAATCATAATATCACATAAATAAAATTCAAGATGATTTTGAATATCTTAACTTACTTGCCTTAATTTTAATACCTCATATGGTATTTAGCCTAGAACTAGGGATGATACTTCACATATATATATATATATATATATATGTATATAGTTTTGTAAAATAACTTACATTAGCCATGCTCTTTTTACTATGATTCATGCCTTGCAAATACCCATTCAATGACTAGTTGCAATAAGGACTCTTCTAGATGTTAGGGATATAGTGGTTATGAAGACAGAGGAGAACTTTGTCTTTAAGTTTATTTCTCTTGTAGAGCACTTTATTTAATAAATTATAATAAAGTGTGCCAAAATGTATATAGAAATATAGAGTTCAAGGGACAAAAACTCCCACAGATGCTTCAAATTGTCTTGGATACAACTTTTCTAAAGTACCTTGATACCATGTACATGAAAGTCTCAAATGTGTCCCACATGATTTTCCCTATTTAGTTTATAATGATATTTATCATTACTATGGAGAGAGATCTTGTATTTGTGTTATGTCTACTTCACAGAAAACCCTCAAGAAATATTCCTACAATTAAGACCTGAAACTATAGAAAATAAATGAGAAAGCAACTTTCGGTAAGTTTTAGATATTGGAATGAGAATTTATACAAATTTTCCTTTAAAGAGGAAAATGTATCTTTTGTGAATGAGGAAGATAGCTTGAGAATTATATGTTTATAATAATCACTGTGGAATACCAGAGGAAGTAAAAAATACAGAAAGATAACATTACAGAGGCCCTAGAGAACAAGGATAAATTGCCTAAAGTAAAAAAAAAAAAACAAAATGATATAAAGTCTCAGAATGTCACATGGTTTCTTCCCTGAAGATCAACAAGTGTAAGTAATTCATTTGTGTTTTTTATAGTTTCATCATATAATAAATATCTTTTCCATTAAAATGGGTCATTGAGAAAAATGTAAAAGTACAATAATCTCTCTTGGTTTCAAAACTTATAGTTTATGCTTAGTGTCATTAACACTAGATAACACTTGAACATCATGAAGTAACTGAGGATATAAAATGAAATAATTGCATAGCCCAAATGGGTTAATTTTGTGATATGTATATTATATCTCAAGCTGTTATAAAAATGGAAGGAAATAGGAGATTGAAAAGTATTTATTATTATAAAGATATTATTATTATAAAGTTATTGTAAAGATGATGTACAGAGGGGTTATAGTTACATAAGTTAGGTAACCAGTACATTGTTTTGAGCAGTGTCACTCCTTCCCTTACTCTCTCTCAGTTTCCTCTCCTGACCCCACCCACAGTTGTATAGTTCCTTTCCAACATAATGTCTAGTGAGTATAACTGCTGCATTTGTTAACCCTTGTCCCACCATTTTTGTGATCTCATTACCCTCCCTGAAACAGATAAACTTACACCCAAGACAAAAATGGCAACAAAGAAAATAAAATCTCTTGTTTCCATTTCTTAGAATTCATTTTGATAACTATTATTTTATGTGATCATACACACATAGCTACTGAGCCTTTGTGATCATCTCCTAAGAATATCCTCCTTTGGTTTCACTATGTGAATATCTAGAGACATATATAATTTATCATATCCCAGTGTATTTTTTTTCTGTAGCAAAACTTGGAGAACAGAGTATTTTAATCACTTTGTAGCTCAAGGAACATATGAGGAAGTTCTTTAGAAGACAGTCTTCTCTTTAGGTGTTGTGAAAAATAAATTATATAAGGAGTTTGCTCAATTTATAAAGTCAGTTGGGTTTTTTTTATATACTGTGCTCCCCTCTTGTTCTGACTATACCTTTTTCTAGCTTTCTCTTTCTTTTCCACTTCTACCCATTCCCTGAAACAAGCATAAACAAGAACTCAAAGAATTCTCTAAAATTCTTTTGTTCCTTTCCTTACCCTTTCAGCTTGCTCCAATCAGGAATCCACCCCCTAATGAAGCTGGAATTGTTTTTTGCCTGGTTACTAGTGACTTCCATGTTCAGTTCTAGTATTCTAATTCTAGTTTCTCTGTCCTTATCCACCACAGTCAACCACTCCATCTTTCTGTGAACATAAATATCATCAACTTTGATCTGAATGTTTAGGCTGAAGATTTAGTAGTCAGACTTGATTCATCTCTTTCCTTATTTCCTCATCTCCATCAGAGAACTCTGCCTGTTTTACCTCTAAAACATATACAGGAACAATTCCCTTTTTCAGAGCACTATTTCCACCCCAGATATAAGCCTCTGAAATCTCTTCACACAATAATGTAATATATTTTTAGAATACTTGTTGGACTATTCCATATATACGTACATATATATGCATATATCCATATGTATACATGGTTCTACTTTTTAGCCCCACCTCCAGACCTATATTTTTAAAATTTAATCATTGAGTTGTAGCAAGCATTTTCAATTTATCATGCCTATATATGTGTACACTGCATTTTGATCAGGTCATTCTTTTCACTGCACTTACACCTCCCTAACCATTTCATCAAGTTTACTAGTTCAGTACTTTTTTGTGCCAGTCCTAGGGCTTGAACTCAAGGTTAGGCCTCTGTCTCTGAGCTTTTGTCTCAAGGCTAATGTTCTACCACTTGAGAAACAGCTGCACTTCTGACTTCTTAATGGTTAATTGGGGATAAGAGTGACATGGTCTTGCCTGCCCAGGATGGCTTAGAATGAGATCCTCAGATCTTAGCCTCCTGAGTAGCTAGCATTACAGATGTGAGCCACAAGTGCATGGCTCCTAGTTCAGTTTCCACAATGTACAATGAATAATTACTGTGTTTAACCACCATTTCTTTCTTCATTCATTTCTCCTTTCTTTTAAGCCCACTCCCTCAGTTCAAGATGCATTTCAGCTTCCTATACTTTTTGTTGAATTTTCTATTAATTGTTCAAAGGAATCCCACCAAGGAAATCATACTCTTCAGTATATCATCCTTTAGTCAGGTTGATCACATATATATTCATAGGGCTCTGTATGTGTTTCTAAATATATCTAGTTTTGACATATGAGAGAAAACATGTGCCCTTTGTCTCTCTTAGGCTGCCTTACTTTACCTGGTCTATTTTTTTCTAGGTCCGCTCTCCCTGCAAATAACATTATTTTTCCTAGTAGATCAATAAAATTCCATTTTATGTTTTTATATCTACATATGATACAATAAAATTATATTTGTTTGTAAATGACATGATTTTGTATATAGGAAATCTGGAGGATTTCCACCAAAAGGATGTGTATCAAAAGGAGGATAATAGATGTGTTCAGTAAGGTTGTAAAATACACAATTTACAATGACTTTTCTGTAAATTAGCACTTAATTGTTTGTAAATAGAAGTTAAGAAAATTCCACTGACAGTAACATAAAAAGAATAAAATACAGAAGTTCAAACACCATAATGTGAGAAAGTATGGATGATGATGGAATGATTTCCCTTTCATTCTTCCTTACTAGCACATCTTATTAAAAACTATTATACACCTAATTCCTTATAGATCTGCTAATAAAATTAATGGTAGTGATAAGTAGTTTTGACTTCATCAACAACCCGTCACTGTGCCTGTAATTGTAGGCAGCATAGATCTACATGTTTTATGTGTTAGGGCCATGCACGGTCCATGCCAGTAGAGAAACTGGTATGTAAACAATAGGTAGCAAACTCATCTAAATACAAATCCCACCAAGACAAAAGATATTCTTTCTGGATAGGCACTATTAACAACCACAACTCCATCTTATAATTTAGCTCTTGCTTATAATTAGCATTACTATTGCATTAATAATACTTCATACTTAATATTTTAGAGTATTCTTAATAGTGCCCATTTGTTTCACAGTGTTTCATCCAAATATGGTAAATGCAAGGGTAAGACCTAATCTAGACCTTATATTGAAAAGAAAGTTAACACTCTAGAGACAGTATAAAATTTGTAATCAGATTTTAAATTGCAAGAGGCCTTTCATCCTCATTATTCTGATGCTTATAGTATCACCTAAGAAGTCCCCTTGATCAATCTCCCTGTTGCCATTACTAGTCAGATGTTATCTGGGATGCAAAAATAGCTTATGATTTAGCAAAATATCAAACTTTCTTATTGCAGGATTATCTGTAAAGAGATTTTTTTTAAATGTCTTCTCTGGCAAACATCTATGCAAGTCTTGATGTAGCAGTGCTAAAGTAGCTTCTGAGAAGTTGGAAGACGATAAACCAGAGCTTCTACCCAATTCTGTCCAAGTGGGGTAAGCTGGGGTTTATGTAGAAAGGGAACAAAAATCCTATTTAAATTTTCAACAAGAAAGTTGACTATCAGTGATTTTACTTTAATAACCAAGACCCATAGATTGAGTGGCTGAAACAATGGAAATTCATTTTCTAGATACTAGAACTCTTAAGATTAAGGTTTTAGCTGAGTTGTTTCATTCTGAGATTTGTAAGGTAAGGATCTCTTTCAGGCCTCTCTTGGCTTGTAGATGACCATCTTTTCCCTGTATGTTCACATCTTCTCTCGTATATGTTTGAGTCCAAATTTATTCTTTCTAAGGGGAACCATCATATTGCATTAATGACCTCATTTTAACACCCTCTCTCCAAATACAAAAACATTCTGAGTCAGGGGAGGACTAGGGCTTCCACATATGAATTTGGTGTTTGTGAGGTCAGAGGATGAGTCGTAATTAAACTCATACTAGTGGCTTTCCTGTTTTAACATGTATACTTACTAATATACAATTTCTACAGTGGTTGTAATTTTTTCTTTTTATTTCACAAACTCTAAAGTTAATATCTAGCTTGCTAAAGTAGAAAAAATATACACACAATTTTTAAGATATTGAGTACTTGAAAGGAAATTAGATTGTTGCTTTGTTGTCATTGTTTAAATAGGGATTGGACTCAGGACCTCACATTTGCTAGCCATGCCATTTTAGCCATGACTAGTTCCCTTTTCTAGTTTGTTTTTCAGATAGGATCATGTGCTAACATTTTATGGACTGAGCTCAAACCATAGTTTTCTTCCTTCTGTCTCCCATGTAGATAGGAATAAAGGAATATCCCACCATACCGAGCCCTGTTTATTTTTTCTCATGTGTGAAATTAAGTGAATTTCAGGGTAGAGAAATAGGATTTATTGTATGAAAAATCATATATAATTTTCATTTTTAGAGTATTTGAAGTATTTTCAGGTATTTGTTTTCTCATAATTTGAAATAACTCATTCATATAGATTTTATACTAGAAATATTTTGTGAATAATTTTAAAGTTTCTCAAAGTTCTAATCACTCACACCTCTATTGAAATATTAATCAGGACAAACAGTGCTTCAGTGCAAAAACCTTGAAAGAGGTTAGTTCTTAAATGCACAAAGAGGTAAATTAACTGACTATGGGTTTTTTTTGTCATCTCCTTACATCAAACATTAAGTTAGAAAAAGTGTTTATATGAGACTTTTGAAGCAGAATCAAAACATATCTTGGAAAAATGGCAAATCTTTATAGTTTTTGATGTCTTATGTAGAGTATCAAAGCATTAACTAGTTACTAACTAGTAAAGACTATCAAATATTGTATAATCTGAAAAGTACAAGTCTCA